ACTCAAACAGCCCCGTCGGAGAGCGGTGGTATAGATGTGTATGGATCTGTCCCTGTTCGTCGGTCTATGTTGTTCTCTATAGTCCACGAATGATAGCGTAATGCTCTCCAGTTCCATCCATGCTGGCAAGAATTCCTTCTTTTCCCTACTTTTTTACCGCAGCGTAGTATTCCACTGTGTAGATGTGGCACAGTTGTGTGTGTGTGCGTGTTTGTGTTTACTGCATTTCTGTGAAATGTCACCCACCACCACCACCACCACCACCACCACCACCACCCCCACTCCCCACCCCACACGCCCACACCCCTATAGGCATATCGCTGGAGGCATCTCCCTACAGAAAGCAGCCTAGGGTTTGGCCCCTCCCTTGGGAGGAGGGGGAGGGCGGGAGGGGGGACCCAGGTGCCAACTGCACCTTGAGGGCTTCCATTGTGGTGGGAGCAGGGACACCTTGCAGGTTACATGAATCCATCTCTGGAAGAGGACACTGAGGCTGAGGCAGGTGAAACTGATTTGCATAAACGGGTCAGTTATCAGGGAGACCGGAAGCTGGAGTTGAAGAAGTGGTGGGCCAGGGCGAGGGTACCCTTCTGAACAGGGTGAAGAGTGGGGGCCTAGGGAGAGAATGCCCTCTGTCTGCAGTCAAACAGCTTAGCCCTACCGAGGGAGGGCATGACTCGTCCCCGTGTCTGTGGGGCCCTTGGGAGCAGGGTCTGCGTGAGGCGAGTGCTTGTCTGTGCGTGACTGCGGACGTAAACACACAGTCACGCACAGACGCTTCTTGACCTGATTGGTCCCGTCGGCATCCATGAGCACCCTTCAGGCCCTGCCTCCTCGTAGGCGGCGCGCCCCCTGCTTGTCCTTCCCCCCTCAGGTCAAGTCCGGGCACCTGTTTCTGCCTTCCCCAGAGGTGGCTGCAGGAGGGTGACTTGCATTAGCGCTACTCGACCAGCAGAGGGCGGGACCAGCTCTTCGGCCCCGGCCCCAGTCAACCCAATCCACAGCCAAAGACTATGTCAGGGCAGGGCCATCTGGTCGACCGCCCCTCCCCCCCACCGCCACCCCCACCCCCCCCACCCCCACCCCCACCCCCCTCCCCCTCCCTCTGTGGATGAATGGCCAGGCCCCCGCCCAGAGACCAGGTTCGGGCCTGGCCATCTGGGCTTGCCGAAGCGTCAGAACGTTGAAAGGCTGGATCAGCGTGTTTTCTAAGGAGGTTTTGTGTGTGTGTGTGTGTGTGTGTGTGTGTGTGTGTGTGAGTGTGAGTGTGAGTGTGTGTGTGTGTGGGGGGGGGTTTTGGAGGATTTTTTTGTTTGTTTGTTTTGTTTTTTGAGGTTTTTGTTTGTTCGTTTGTTTTGTGTTTATGATTTTTGTTGTTGTTGAGGGAAGTAGTTTGTTTGTTTGTTTGTTTGTTTGTTTGTTTGTTTTCTGCACCCGTTTCTGTTTATTATGGCCAAGGTGAAAAACGCCAGCTCCTCCACAACAGCTCCTCCACAACAGCAACCAGTAAAATTTACCCCCCAAAACGACTAGGTACAGCACAGGTCTTTTTCGGAATTTTTTAATGAAATAAACGTTAAAGACAACACTTTGCATGAGTTTTAATGAAATCCTATTTCAAAACAGAAGAAACAATTCCCCAATGGGCCACAGGTCCCCGCCAGCCCGCCCTCGGGAAGCACCGCGAGACGATTTCCAGGCCTAGCCCCACCACGCACGCACGCACCGACTTGGTGGTGCTTTAGCTGGTGTCCATCATGGCGTCGTAAGCGTCCAGCTGGGCGTCCAACTCCTCGGTGTCCATCACCGTGTTGTAAGCGTCCAGCTGGGCGTCCAACTCCTCGGTGTCCATCGCCGTGTTGTAAGCGTCCAGCAGGGCGTCCTCCAAGTCCTCGGTGCCCCTCATCGCGTTGTAAGCGTCCTTCTGGGGGTCCAACTGCTCGGCGCCCCTCATCGCGTTGTAAGCGTCCAGCTGGGCGTCCAACTCTTTGGTGCCCCTCATCGCGCTGCCAGTGCTCACGTGGGCGTCCAGCTTTTTGGTGCTCCTCATCGAGTTGTAAGCGTCCAGCTGGGCGTCCAACTCCTCGGCGCCCCTCATCGCGTTGTAAGCGTCCAGCTGGGCGTCCAACTCTTTGGTGCCCCTCATCGCGCTGCCAGTGCTCACGTGGGCGTCCAGCTTTTTGGTGCTCCTCATCGCGTTGTAAGCGTCCTTCTGGGGGTCCAACTGCTCGGCGCCCCTCATCGCGTTGTAAGCGTCCAGCTGGGCGTCCAACTCGTCGGCGCCCCTCATGGCGTTGTACGCGTCCTTCTGGGCGTCCATCTCCTCCGTGACCCTCATCGCGCCGCCAGTGCTCAGCTGGGCGTCCAGCTTTTTGGTGCCCCTCATCGGGCTGCCAGTGTCCACCTGGGCGTCCAGCTTTTTGGTGCTCCTCATCGAGTTGTAAGCGTCCAGCTGGGCGTCCAACTCCTCCGCAGAGATCTGTTGCTTTGAATTGCGTCCGGTGCCCCTGCCGGTAACCCGGCTGCCTCCGCGGGCGCGACTCGGCGTGCCGCCGCCAAAGCCTCCAGATCCTCGGTGTGTAGTCCCCCCGCCTCTGTTGACACTCTGTACCGGCCTGCGCTGCGTGTGTATCTGTGAGGTGACGAGCTGGATGTTGAGGGGGCGGCCATCCAAAGGCACGCCGTGGTACTGTTTCATGGCTTCCAGGGCGTCTGCCTTCCGCTCAAAGTGCACGTGGGCTGACCCCAGGCTGCGGCCAGAGCGGTCGTAGTGGACACCGGCCTTCTTCAGAGGCCCGAACTCCGCAAACAGCTGCTGGACGTCCGCGTCGGACACTCCGAAGGCCAGGTTGGACAGAAGCAGCTTCCCCCCGGTCACCAGGCCGGCGCCCCTGCCCAAGCCCCTGCGGAAGCGGTGGCGCTGCCACTCGTCGGGAAGCTGTCTCGGCCTGCTGTAGGGCGCCGGCCGGTTCCTGCCTCGGGCGGGGGCCGCCCGGTTGCGGCACGGCCCGCCGCCCTGGCTCACTGGTGCGGCGGTTTGCGCTCCGCCACTGCGGCCTCCCTGGGAGCCGGCCCGGCCTCGGTCCCGGCCTCGGTCCCGGCCTCGGTCCCTGTCCCCGCCGCGGCCGCCCCGCTGGCTCCGGTTCAGCCTAATGATGTCGTCCAGAGACATGCTGACTTTGTCGGCCATGGCGGGCCCGGAATCGGCCTCGGATCGAGCCCGTGCGGGAAGCACGCCGGCCCTTCCCTTCCCGCCCGCGGCGCCGGGGCTGTTCCTGAGCCGGCACCAGATGTTGGGGTCCAGGCGCAGCGGTTCGCAAAGGTGTGGACGGACTCCTCGCGGAAGAGGAAATGACACGGAGACAGCGTTCGGCCGGAGACAGCGTTCCCACGGAGACGGAGACGGAGACGGAGACGGCTTTCCGACAGAGACGGCGTTCGGGCGGAGACAGCGTTCCCGCGGAGACAGCGTTCCCACGGAGACAGCGTTCAGACGCGCCCAGGGCTGAGAAGGTCCGCGAACCATAGACCCTGCGAGGTGCTGCCGCCCCTGCTTTTATAGCCCCAGAGCGTGGTGGGAGGAGCCAGAGAGACCCACCAATCAGCCGCTCCCAGGAATGAAGCGCCACTGTTGGGGAGACGCCAACTTTAGCGTGGGGCAGGTGGCCCATCTCAAGGAAAGGCTCTCCCGAACGTGGCTGCGATGCCTGGGGTGCTTGACCGGCGCCTCTTGGGCAGGCTCCTCCAACCCGGGACCCGTGAAGAGTGTTGGGGGGGTTCTATTTTACTTTGTGTTATTTTTTTCTTATTTCTGTGCTCATTTCTCTTCGTTCATTGCAATGGATTCTATCTCTCGGCAATGAACCGTTGCAAACATCGGCCCCATTTGCATTTGAAGGGAGGGGGCGGGGGGGGGGGGGGTGCGAGGTTTGCGGGAGGGGGGAGGGGGAGACCGGAGACGCAAACACACCGGACGTAGCGGCCCTTGGGGGTCATGGGAGGCAGAGGCTGAGGCGGATGTGAATAAAATGTGTATGCTTTTGTACCTTAGCTCCGAGCCCAGGACGCCAGAGGCCACCCGCACTCAAACAGCCCCGTCGGAGAGCGGTGGTATAGATGTGTATGGATCTGTCCCTGTTCGTCGGTCTATGTTGTTCTCTATAGTCCACGAATGAGTGAGATCGTGTGGCATTCATTTTTCTCTGACGGGCTAATTTCACTTAGCGTAATGCTCTCCAGTTCCATCCATGCTGGCAAGAATTCCTTCTTTTCCCTACTTTTTTACCGCAGCGTAGTATTCCACTGTGTAGATGTGGCACAGTTGTGTGTGTGTGCGTGTTTGTGTTTACTGCATTTCTGTGAAATGTCACCCACCACCACCACCACCACCACCACCACCACCACCACCCCCACTCCCCACCCACCCCACACGCCCACACCCCTATAGGCATATCGCTGGAGGCATCTCCCTACAGAAAGCAGCCTAGGGTTTGGCCCTCCTTTCGGGGGACCCAGGTGCCAATGGCACCTTGAGGGCTTCCAGTGTGGTGGGAGCAGGGACACCTTGCAGGTTACATGAATCCATCTCTGGAAGAGGACACTGAGGCTGAGGCAGGTGAAACTGATTTGCATAAACGGGTCAGTTATCAGGGAGACCGGAAGCTGGAGTTGAAGAAGTTGAGGGCCGGGGCGAGGGTACCCTTCTGAACAGGGTGAAGAGTGGGGGCCTAGGGAGAGAATGCCCTCTGTCTGCAGCCAAACAGCTTAGCCCTACCGAGGGAGGGCGGGCATGACTCGTCCCCGTGTCTGTGGGGCCCTTGGGAGCAGGGTCTGCGTGAGGCGAGTGCCTGTCTGTGCGTGACTGCGGACGTAGACACACAGTCACGCACAGACGCTTCTTGACCTGATTGGTCCCGTCGGCATCCATGAGCACCCTTCAGCCCCTGCCTCCTCGTAGGCGGCGCGCCCCCTGCTTGTCCTTCCCCCCCTCAGGTCAAGTCCGGGCACCTGTTTCTGCCTTCCCCAGAGGTGGCTGCAGGAGGGTGACTTGCATTAGCGCTACTGGACCAGCAGGGGGCGGGACCAGCTCTTCGGCCCGGGCCCCAGTCAACCCAATCCACAGCCAAAGACTTTGTCAGGGCAGGGCCATCTGGTCGACCGCCCCTCACCCCCCACACCCCCACCCCCACCCCCCTCCCTCTCTGGATGAATGGCCAGGCCCCCGCCCAGAGACCAGGTTCGGGCCTGGCCATCTGGGCTTGCCGAAGCGTCAGAACGTTGAAAGGCTGGATCAGCGTGTTTTCTAAGGAGGTTTTGTGTGTGTGTGTGTGTGTGTGTGTGTGTGTGTGTGTGTGTGTGAGTGTGAGTGTGTGTGTGTGTGGGGGTGGGGGGGTTTTGGAGGATTTTTTTGTTTGTTTGTTTTGTTTTTTGAGGTTTTTGTTTGTTCGTTTGTTTTGTGTTTATGATTTTTGTTGTTGTTGAGGGAAGTAGTTTGTTTGTTTGTTTGTTTGTTTGTTTGTTTTCTGCACCCGTTTCTGTTTATTATGGCCAAGGTGAAAAACGCCAGCTCCTCCACAACAGCTCCTCCACAACAGCAACCAGTAAAATTTACCCCCCAAAACGACTAGGTACAGCACAGGTCTTTTTCGGAATTTTTTAATGAAATAAACGTTAAAGACAACACTTTGCATGAGTTTTAATGAAATCCTATTTCAAAACAGAAGAAACAATTCCCCAATGGGCCACAGGTCCCCGCCAGCCCGCCCTCGGGAAGCACCGCGAGACGATTTCCAGGCCTAGCCCCACCACGCACGCACGCACCGACTTGGTGGTGCTTTAGCTGGTGTCCATCATGGCGTCGTAAGCGTCCAGCTGGGCGTCCAACTCCTCGGTGTCCATCACCGTGTTGTAAGCGTCCAGCTGGGCGTCCAACTCCTCGGTGTCCATCGCCGTGTTGTAAGCGTCCAGCAGGGCGTCCTCCAAGTCCTCGGTGCCCCTCATCGCGTTGTAAGCGTCCTTCTGGGGGTCCAACTGCTCGGCGCCCCTCATCGCGTTGTAAGCGTCCAGCTGGGCGTCCAACTCTTTGGTGCCCCTCATCGCGCTGCCAGTGCTCACGTGGGCGTCCAGCTTTTTGGTGCTCCTCATCGAGTTGTAAGCGTCCTTCTGGGCGTCCAACTCTTTGGTGCCCCTCATCGCGCTGCCAGTGCTCACGTGGGCGTCCAGCTTTTTGGTGCTCCTCATCGAGTTGTAAGCGTCCAGCTGGGCGTCCAACTCCTCGGCGCCCCTCGGCGCGTTGTAAGCGTCCAGCTGGGCGTCCAACTCTTTGGTGCCCCTCATCGCGCTGCCAGTGCTCACGTGGGCGTCCAGCTTTTTGGTGCTCCTCATCGAGTTGTAAGCGTCCAGCTGGGCGTCCAACTCCTCGGCGCCCCTCGGCGCGTTGTAAGCGTCCAGCTGGGCGTCCAACTCTTTGGTGCCCCTCATCGCGCTGCCAGTGCTCACGTGGGCGTCCAGCTTTTTGGTGCTCCTCATCGAGTTGTAAGCGTCCAGCTGGGCGTCCAACTCCTCCGCAGAGATCTGTTGCTTTGAATTGCGTCCGGTGCCCCTGCCGGTAACCCGGCTGCCTCCGCGGGCGCGACTCGGCGTGCCGCCGCCAAAGCCTCCAGATCCTCGGTGTGTAGTCCCCCCGCCTCTGTTGACACTCTGTACCGGCCTGCGCTGCGTGTGTATCTGTGAGGTGACGAGCTGGATGTTGAGGGGGCGGCCATCCAAAGGCACGCCGTGGTACTGTTTCATGGCTTCCAGGGCGTCTGCCTTCCGCTCAAAGTGCACGTGGGCTGACCCCAGGCTGCGGCCAGAGCGGTCGTAGTGGACACCGGCCTTCTTCAGAGGCCCGAACTCCGCAAACAGCTGCTGGACGTCCGCGTCGGACACTCCGAAGGCCAGGTTGGACAGAAGCAGCTTCCCCCCGGTCACCAGGCCGGCGCCCCTGCCCAAGCCCCTGCGGAAGCGGTGGCGCTGCCACTCGTCGGGAAGCTGTCTCGGCCTGCTGTAGGGCGCCGGCCGGTTCCTGCCTCGGCCGGGGGCCGCCCGGTTGCGGCACGGCCCGCCGCCCTGGCTCACTGGTGCGGCGGTTTGCGCTCCGCCACTGCGGCCTCCCTGGGAGCCGGCCCGGCCTCGGTCCCGGCCTCGGTCCCGGCCTCGGTCCCTGTCCCCGCCGCGGCCGCCCCGCTGGCTCCGGTTCAGCCTAATGATGTCGTCCAGAGACATGCTGACTTTGTCGGCCATGGCGGGCCCGGAATCGGCCTCGGATCGAGCCCGTGCGGGAAGCACGCCGGCCCTTCCCTTCCCGCCCGCGGCGCCGGGGCTGTTCCTGAGCCGGCACCAGATGTTGGGGTCCAGGCGCAGCGGTTCGCAAAGGTGTGGACGGACTCCTCGCGGAAGAGGAAATGACACGGAGACAGCGTTCGGCCGGAGACAGCGTTCCCACGGAGACGGAGATGGCTTTCCGACAGAGACAGCGTTCCTGCGGAGACAGCGTTCCCACGGAGACAGCGTTCAGACGCGCCCAGGGCTGAGAAGGTCCGCGAACCATAGACCCTGCGAGGTGCTGCCGCCCCTGCTTTTATAGCCCCAGAGCGTGGTGGGAGGAGCCAGAGAGACCCACCAATCAGCCGCTCCCAGGAATGAAGCGTCACTGTTTGGGCGATGCCAACTTTAGGGTGGGGCAGGTGGCGCATCTCAAGGAAAGGTTCTCCTGAACGTGGCTGCGATGCCTGGGGTGCTTGACGGGTGCCTCTTGGGCAGGCTCCTCCGACCCGGGACCCGTGAAGAGTGTTGGGGGGGTTCTATTTTACTTTCAAAGAACCAGCTCTTGCTTTCATTGATTTTCTGTATTGTTTTTTTGGTCTCTATGTCATTTATTTCTGCTCTAATCTTTATTATCTCCTTCCTTCTGCTCACTCTGGGGTTTTCTTGTTGCTCTCTTTCTAATTTAGTTGTAGAGTTAGATGATTTACTACTATTTTTTCTTGTTTTTTGAGATAGGCCTGTAGAGCTATAAACTTCCCTCTCAGGACTGCTTTCATTGTGTCCCATAGGTTTTGGATTGTTGTGTTTTCATTGTCATTATTTTCCAGGATGTTTTTAATTTCTTCTTTGATCTCATTGGTAACCCAATCAATATTTAATAACATGCTTTTC